CACGTGATTGGCGTGAATCCTGATGACACGTCAAGGACCAGCATTAAAGCGTGAATAGAGTTTGTTAAGGCGATCATCTACTTTGCGTGTGGGACAAGGGTTACATACAGAAGGGGAGCAGCCCGAACGTCCGCAAACATGACATAAAGTGTGAGCTTCATTAGGAGGATGCCAAGTTAAACCTTTGCCACAGAAAGCCATGAATAATTCTTTCGCGGCCTCAAGGGTATCAAACGAGGAGAAGTTTAAATATACATAAGGTTTGGGCTTGTAAGAATTAATAGAAAGGGGAACATTAAGAGCTTTAGCGTTAACTTGAGTAGCAATTTCTAAAAGGTCAGCTTCTTTGATATTTTTTGGGATACAGGCAAGGATGGCGACATGTTCTCTTCAGCTATCACGTTGGAATTTCGAGAAAGATGCTGGACAGACACGTAAGGAATTACTTAGGCAAATGATCGCCCAGATGTCGTTGAATTGAGTAATTGCATCCGCAAAGGAAAATTGGATATGACCATTATAATAATGTTTCTTGGGGTGAGTTTGCACTTAATCACAGTGCCATATCGGGAAAATGCCTGGCGGACTTGCGTCTCGTTTAGAAAAAGTGGGATGTCGGTGACAAACAAAGACTTCGCTTCGTCATTGAGTTTGGCATCTGCAGGGAATAATAAGTGAAGACTAAATTGAGAAGATCTGCACATGGAAAGCTGAGTGGAAGCTGACACAATCGGTAAAATTATGCTGATCATTGAAGAAGACAAAGATCTTTTTGTTATCGCCTGATCCATCGCAGCATGCGCGGGTGCCATAGAAGGAATATCGGGAGAGTGAACAATCCACTTCGTCACACATAGAGCGATTGGTAGTAAATTTAGCTTTGAATGCATCAGGCGCATCACGTAGATAGGCCGCAGCATAATAATGAGATGGTGCAGACTTGATAGCGGCAGCATTACCATCGGGGGATAGCTAACGTTCTGGGATATCGAAGACAACAGATTTACCCTTATCATTAGAGGAAGGATTTGTAGAAACGGTGTAAACTGTCGAATATCAAGCACGAAAAGATGATAAAATTCAACCACCAAATGTAATTGCCAAATATCAAGAACGAACAAATTAATTATGAATTGGCATAGATGGATAAATAATTAGCCGAAAAGGATAAACATTTAGAAAGAGTAATGATCTACATGATGTAATGTTTGTTGAATGATTAACAAAGAACCAATAGGATAATTAGAGTCGATCAATTGCAGCTTAGCAATCTTTAACAATAAGAGCAATTAGAAAGAATAATTATAAGCCACAAAAGATAGATTATAAGCAAAACATATAAAGCGAATTGAAAGAACATATAAAATAAAGTCAGAAAGATTAAAGAACGTAAAATAATATAAAAGATAATATAAAAAGATAATACAAAGATAATATAAAAGATAATATAAAAAGATAATACAAAGATATTATAAAAGATAATATATATATATAAAAGATAGCATATTAAAAGATAGCGTATTTAAAATATAGATAGTATATTAGAAAGATAGTTCAAAGATAATATGTAAAAAGAACATAAAAGATAGTATATAGATAGAATAGAAAGTAGCATAAAAATTGTATAAATAGAGAGCGGAATTCAAAGTAATTCCAAAGTTCTAATCCACAGAACTCAATAAAAATATAAGTTTCATTTAATTATTTGTTAGTAAAGTTTAATATTAATTAAAGGTAATAGGTTCGCCCTAAACTTTAATTAATGTTCGCTTAATTAATTTTAATTAAAACAAATGAAAATTTTAAGATGAATTAAATATATGTTTTTGAAAAGTAATAATTCGTAGCGAGAGCTATCGAAGTTTGAAATTAAAGGTAAAAGTGGATATAATTTGGGAAAAATTTAGAGAAGTTAATTTTATTTTATATTGTTCAACGTTTTATATTACTAACGCTATTTATGTCGTGAACCAAGAATGTTGTTGTATATTGTTCGTTGATCATGTTGTTGTTAATTATGTTGTTAATTATTTGCTTGTTCGTTCAATTGTTCGTTCGTTCGTTTATTCGTTCGTTCGACCATGAGAATGCCCGTTCGATGTGGCAACTCTGTAAATTGATGACAGAGGGAATTGGGGGATCTCAACGGGAAGGGGTGTGCATATATAGAAGATTCTAAAGATGTGTTAGTAGGAGGAGGTTGAGTAATAACTGGAACTCTATTGACAGGAAGGCCAGAAGGAACGGTGGAAGTGAGGTTGGGAGCAGGAGCAGAGGGCGAAGTTATATCAACATTCATAGCGTCATCAGAGACAATACGCGAACGTTTATTAGGCACGCCAGCGGTGTTAGTAGGAGACAAGGGTCAGTCTCCAGATGGAGCAGAAGTGTCAGAACGCAGTGGCGGCAAAATATCCGGGTTAATAACAGAAGGAGCTGGAGGTGTAGTCATAGTATAAAGCTCAGTAAAAAGGAAAGCAACTGGGAAAGTATTAGTATTTGAACGAGCACTTAGAAATTTTTGAACGAAAATTTCAAAAATAAATTTTTATTAGTATTTTCAAAATTTCAGAAAAGAGTTGCGATAATCCTCGGTGATTATATTTATAAAGAGATGTGACTATATAAAAAATTTCTTATATTAGTATATCATAATTCTGGCCAAAAATTAACATAATTTTAGCTAAAATTATACTTAAAACTTTATTGTATCATAATTCTGCCAATATTAATCATAGAGAGATAATCTTACCGCCATTCGATTCATCTCGATGAGATGGTTCTAATGGTATAAAATATATCAAAATCCAATCACTAGATTAATTTTCGAAATTAAAAAAATATTAATGGTTTTTGTGTAATAATTCTGCCAATATTGATCTTAGAGAGACGATCTTACTACCATTTAATTCGTCTTGATGTGACAAATTTAATGGTATAAATAAAGATGTAGTATGTAATTGATAATTACTACCTTATGTTGTAATAGTAAGGGTTGCAATCTATTACTACTTTTAAAATTAAAGTGTTGTAATATTACAACACTTATGATTATTCAAAAATTTTCTTTTTGAAAAATAAAAATTACAAAAATAAGTTTTTATAGAATAAATATCATTATAAAAAGAAATAATTAATATATTATAATACATATTTGTATAATTAAAAATAATTACAACACTATATAATAATTACAATTTTAATAGTATTATAATACTATATAATAATTATAATATTGTATTGCAATTACAACAAAAGTGTTGTATGTATGTTGTAATAGTTGCAACCTTACAACCTTTTAAAAATAATTACATATCACATCAGTAGGTATAAATACATTGAAATCCAATTACTATATCAATTTCCAAAATTAAAAAATATTAAATGGTTTTTAAGTAGTAACTCCGTCAATATTAACCACAGAGAGATGTGCTTACTTCCATTCGATTCGTCTTGATGAGGCGATTCCAACGAGCTATTAATCGTCCTTTTACAATCACTAGGTACCGAAAAATTTAGCAAAATGTTAAATGGCACAGTACAGTCTAACCTCGATATACCGATATTCGATATACCGATATACTATTAAAAACTTGTTATACCGATAAAATTTTATTTTCCCACTATATGTGAGGACATATAAATATCGGTATAACTTTGATATAACGATATTTTCTAAAAATTTCATATATGTCCCGACATATCGTTATATAAAGGTTTGACTGTAAATGTAAATCAAAAAATATAATAATGCCGATGCTTAACATTTTATCAGCTAGTGGTCATAAAAGGATAAAACTACCACCATTCGATTCGCCTCAGTGAGATGATTCTAACAAGCTATGTTACATCTTTGTATGATTATTAGATGCCAAGTTATTTAATATATTCTTTATATAACTGTAATTATAAACGGTTTTTTTTAATATAAGATTTTTGAGAATAGATGTGATAGTGACTATAGATAGATTGTGACTATATAGGATAGATTTTAATAATAAAGTGTTTTGAACATTCAACTGGTGTAACTATATAGTAGAATGTGACTACAGTGCATACAACTTAGTCCCAGCAATTAAATTTGATGAAATTTAAATTACTACTATTCATTCAAAAAAAAAGATAAACATAAAGTATAAACGTACAATGATAAATCAGATTAAGCTTAATAAAACTATATTTTTAAATTTCCTGTAAAGTATTTTTTAATAAAGTAGTAGCAATTCAAAGTTGAAATATTTTACTATTGAATTAAATATTTGGCCATTTTATTCTGACCAGAATTACATGTAAATCTGGTCAAAATTACTAAAATTATATATAATTCTGGCTAGAATTAAGAAAGAGGAAGTTGACTGTAGCTACATTTTCTTCAATTTGAATTTTATGTTTGTCATTTGCTGCAATAAAGCAAACATAATCACAATAAAAAATTGAAAATTTATGCAAATAATGAAAAAGACAAGCACAATAATATGCATCTGGATGGTTTTTACATAATTGTTAAGCTTGAATTTGATACTTAATTTGTGATTTGTATAACAATCAGAGAAAATTACTATGCTAAATTGGGTGAAATTTTTGTAGATCATTTAGTATAATGAAAAATTGCATTTTTGATGTATTATAAAAAGATCATCTAGCCCATAGTAACACACCCAATTTATTAGCCAATTATAGTCATCATGATGTAACGTTATCTAATTTCTATTTTATCGTTATTTTGAAAATATTTTTAATGACTTTAGTTTGAGGGAAAGACAGATTCCAAGCTAATTTGAACTTGCGATTTCAATAATGGCAAAATTTAAATTTTATAATTTTTGTAATATTTTTATATATTCTTTTATAAAACTGTTTATATATTATTATTTCATATTTATTTTATTATTTTATTATTTATTTTATTATTTTTATTATAACCGATACCTCTCCTAACATATTAAAGACATTTTTGCCATTTTTTGACGATGTTGTGCCAAATAACAAGATATCCAACCTTAAATAGTTTGCAGTTTTGGAATTTCTTTTTTATCCAACTCTTCTTCTTCGACTTTTCTTCTGGGATTTTCTAGCATGGTGGCAGCGGTAAATCTTTTACTTTTATTAACGTTTCCTTCCAAAAAATATTCTTCCAAAAGTTTTCACACTCTTTTAGATATACGTTTTTCACCTCCTTTTTTACCATATTTTTGCTTACTTTTTAATGCCCATCCTGACTCCAAGGAAAACTCATGAAAGAAATTCCTATTGAGTAGGTAAGTTTCTAATTAGTAAATAACTATATACAGTATGTATTCAAACAATATACTTACCATATAACATTTTGATCTTGATTTTCAGAAATATCTTTTTCAAAAACAAACAGTAATTAGCATTTGTTTCAATATTTCAGATAAATTCTTTCTTGCCATTTTCCATTGTTTCTGTTTCATTAGCCAAGGCAAGTTCTAATTCTTTGATCAACTCATCTCTTTTAGCAGTATTGACAACATTGATATTTCATTTTTTCAATTCAGATAATAATCATTCTCTTGTCAATCTTTTAGAATCAATACCTAGATTGGAGGCAAAATGAAAGTTGGATAATATTCACAAAAAGATGAAGAGGTAACGCACCTGATACGTTTGGTATAGCAACTATCCATTTATTTTTAGGAGTTGTATGAATTAATACCACAGGTTCTGGAATTTCAATTTGCTTTTTCTGCAAATTAGCTATCTGTACTGGTGAAAACTCTATCCATTCTCAAATATTAGGAATCTCTCGACTAAAAATATAACCTGCCATTGATCCTTCTCCCGGCCAAGTCCATTCAAATAAATTAGAATTGCCAGAAAGAGTATTTTTCGTCTTCTTATTTTGGTCTAAAGTAAGTCAAAATTAGATAATATAATTTTTATTATTTTCATTTGATCTAAAACTCACCTTTTATTAGATTTGATTCCAAATATGCAACAAATGTTTCACAAATATCTTTAATTGCAGCTTTGATATCAGTACCCTCCATTATATCCAATCCAAGACGTACTTGATGTTTGATTGCATGGGTAATCTAATGTATTGATACTCATTATATAAGTAGGTCATATCTCTTATTTATTTTTGTTAATACTTGGGCTATACTTCTCCGCTAATTAATTACGTCGTATTTCGGCGAACGGACCAATTCACTATTTATTATAAAATTACTATGAATTAATTACGTCTGTCAAAATACATTACGTCTGTCAAAATAAATTTAATTAGTATTTTGTCATTTTGACGAAAAGTATAACTTGGGCATGATGGCTGTCAATAGTTGTTTTTGCCTTTCCTGCTTCCAGGAATATCCATTTCTTTACATTTATTTGATATCATTCTAACCAATTTCCTAAAATCATCATTAGATCAGTATTGTGATAGTGAGGACCATTATCTGAAATAATTGTGATCCACTTCGGCTTATTTTCTAGTGATTCAATTACAGCATGATGAAGTGATGAAGCTGTAAACCAAGAGTCTTGACATGCATCCATTGACCAATAATCATAAGCATGAACATCAAGTTCTTGATACCCTGGCTTTTTTGTATATATAAGAATTGTATGTAATGTCCAACCTTTCTTCCCAAAGAATTCTGCTTTTATTTCTTTAGCACTTTTTGGAAGTATTTTCATTTTATAATCAACCACTAATACAGCGCTATTCTCATCCAAATCCAATAGATTAGCATTAAATTAGACGTTTAAATAAACTTTACGAGCTTGATGAGCAAGATAATATAACAGATGGTTTTGATATTCATCAAGATCTTTGTGCAAATCTATAGAAATCTGATTTTTAAGATGTCTAAAAAAGGTAAATAATTCAGCACATTCTTGAGATGCATGTGTATGTTGTTCTGTGTAAATTCCAAATGCCCACAGTAAGCAATAACTAATACAAAGATTATGTTTTGTTATTCCTTTTTTATCAACAATCAGATTTTTTTCATAATCTCTTTTCAAAAATCATTGTAACCTTTTCAACTCATCAAGAAATTGTTTCTAAAATCAATGAAATGTATGTATAAGAAATTATCTTTAAAAATAAGAATTTTATTATATTAGCCAAGTACCTTATTTATGCTATCCATAAACTTATTTTCAATAAGCTTTCTAATATCATCAAATATTTCATATCCATACCGGCTCCACACATTACATAAGATATAAGGTCAAATATTTTGATGGATCATAGTACTTGAGACAATAGGTTAGAAAGAGGAACAATAGATTAGATAATAATATACATAATAAAAAGAGAGTTAGATGCAATTCTACATAGTGAAAAGAAATTTTTTTGAGTTTTAGAACATTGGTACATAATATTAATAGTTTTAGAAAAACAATTAAGGAAAAAAAAATAAATAAGGTTTAAATATTAAAATTTTATAACAACTTATGAAAAGTAAATAGAATTCTTTAGGCTAATTAAAGAATTCTAAATATTTCTTATTTATACTAAATAAAATAGTATTATTTCATATTAAGTTATATCTAAATTTACTTTGATATTGAAATGTTAAAAATCTTAAAAATTAATTTACTACCTACTACTCAAAAACAGAATAATTATTAGTTTATTTGAAATAATAAAGTTTAAATACAAAGTTTTGCTAATATAATCCTATTTATAACTATTATTATAAAAAATATATAAACATGTATTACATTCCTCATTTTATTATCTCCAATTAAAAAGTCATGATTATATATTATAAGAATTTTTTTTTCCCTGAAAATGCGAATAAATCATGTATGATTTCAAAGTAAATTTTCTTTACAAAATTCTTCTTACATCTCATGAACTTCCGCCACTTTCCTCTTTAGAAATACCAATTCCATTAACGCCATTAGATAAAAAAGATGGTTTTATACATCTTTCAAATTCCACGCAAGTTATACAAACAGCAGTTAGATTTTTTGGTAACGAAGATGAAATTTTAGTATTGAAAATATCTTATAATCAAAATGGCATAAAAGAAAATGTTAAATGGGAAGCACCACCAGAATTAGAAGAACGTTTCCCCCACTTATATGGTGATTTATTGATTAAACATATTATAGATATTGTCCAAGTAAAAAGTTTGAGAAAAGGCGGAGATGAAGGGTTTGAGTGGCCTAAAGGATGGTTGGAAACATAATCGTTACATGATTATTTCTCCAGATTTTAATTAACAATATTGTATAAATCCTAAGATAATTACATCCTTGTTATCAAGTCAGATAGTTATTATAATTTCAATTATTGTGCTAAAATGTCCACCAGTCGTTTAAATTAATTAGAATTAGGAATTTTTTTTTTTTTTTTTTATGATAATGATACAGATATATTGATACTTAAAGCAATAACACAGACTTTTATAAAACCTTTAAATATCTATTTTACAAATAAAAAATTAAATAATCAAATGCAAATTAGTTCAATCAATTAAATAAAGTGTTTGAAATATAAATGTTACGTGTCCAAAAAGCTGTACATACAAATCCGAATTACTTATATAAAAAAATGATTTTTGCGATTCTTAATATAAACACTGCCTCTACGTACGTTCGAATCAAATATATGTTATGGTTGTTCCTGCCTTCAGAGTTTGCCATGATCTGACCAACCACTTATAGAATTCGTTGCGTAATTTTTCTTTAATATTTGTTCTGTTTGAAAACATGAACAATATCATGATGAAAAAAAAGATTCCAGGAATTGACATTTTTGACATCATCCTTTGCAAATACAACATAAAATATTCCACCATACGATTAAAAGAAGTTGTAGATGATGTTGATACTATACGATTAACAGCAGATGATGTTGGTGATGGAATCTGTCGATTATCTACAATGTTTCTACTATTTGTTGTTATCGCCGTTGTTCTCGTTCCAGGGTGTAAAGAACGAATGAATTGTTTATTGTTACGTATCATCATATTTGACGAAAACGAAGACGTTCCATTATTAACATATTTTTGGTTGTTATTTGCAAACATTCCCAAACCATTTATATGAGCATTTTCTGTTCGAGTGGTAAAGAAGCCATTAACATGATGACCATTGGCATCTTCCTTTTTTAATTTATCTTTTTTTAATTTGATAAGTTTAGGTGGCGTGGGTTTATTAGACTTCTCTTTTAATTTCAAGAGGGTATGCTCATAAACCTTTGAACGAAGTCAACAAATAGTTATATTTAGTACTAGAATCTTTTAAAAAAAATGTTATTAAAATCCGCTTACTTTCTTGCGTTCATTATTAATAACTTCGTTATCAGCAAGGAATTTTGAAGCTAAATCCCAGTCCCTCAATTTTGGCAGCACTTGTAAAACATACAATTCCACGACTTTTTCATAAGATTTTAAAATTGGGTCATCAGTTACGCCTTTAGAAGATATACGTTCAAGATGTAATATTAATTCGTCTGAGAGTGCATTAAGCCATTCTTCGATTATATTGCGTCCGTTTGGTGCTTGTTGTTGATTTAAACAAAATAGGATACTAATAATTATAATTTTTAGTTTTGAACCATCAAAAATAAACATACAAAAAAAAGAGTGGTTAATCGGTTAATCATTAAAATTCATATTGGTAAAGAAAAAATAAAAATTAACTTGATTATATATTATTTGTTCAATAATAATAATAAATTTATAACATACTGTGCACATTTACCATTATTATAAACTTCTTACCCACCATGCTACGACAACTTCACCAGGAACTTCGCCAGTTTCCTCGCCATATCCTTCATTAATAACTTTAAGCCATACGTCGCTAACAACTTTCTCAGCTGATCGTTCTAAAAGTCTCTTAATCTCGAGATCTTTTGTTATTATTGGCGGTTTTTCTGCAAATACAGCTGCAATTAGATTAATATAGAGGATCCAAATTTTAGTTTGTAAAATTTTTGCTGAAGGTGAGGAAGAAATCGGTGAGAAATTTGTGAGTTTAGAGATTGCAGCGGAACATAGTGAATGCGCAGAATCATATTTTCGTAAAAGAAAATCATCTTTTGCCTTTTGATATAAGGAAGTAAGAGATTGTAAGTCTATAGAATTTGAAGGAGACATTATATGGTTGTGTTTTACTTGAGAAGAAGTCAAGAATTGTGGTGAAGAAAGATGAGAGTCAACAGAGGGAGTCTCAGGAGGAGCCATCGTTAAATAAAATATTCAGTATGAATAAGAAGCGATACAAGTATATATAGTCGCCAAACTAATTGAAGATCATACTATCTTATCGTTATCATTTTCCATCACATCACATAAATAACGTGATTCTTTTTATGATTAAAAAAAGTTAAGCACAGCTAAGTTTTTTTATATTAATATAAAGATTAGTCAGCTCACAGAGCATAAATCAAAGTAATAAGAATGTTATAACAAAGCCAAACTATATTATATATTCTAAAACATTCAATTTCAAAGGAGTTGAATATGATGAGATCCAAGTAAGAAGTTAAAGGGAAATAACAATTCGTAATATTAAAAATTTTTTTTTTGCCCGTAAAATAATATATATAAATATATACACAAGCACAACTTGACAACTTTTTGACTATTTTAACCATAATATTTTTTGTTTTTTTATCAACATGGATAAAAACCCCTCACACCTTACTAACTTATCGTTTTAAACTAAGTTAAACCCAATTTGTTGATGTACTAACTAGAATCAAATATATGAAAGAAAAAAATAAAAAATAAAAGAAAAAAAAAATTTCACACGCATACGCAAACTCCTCCCAACCAGATATACTTTTCCTCGTCATAACACTTCAACAATGAATTACAAACTGTAAAACCGGAGAACATTATATAATTTCGTTGTTATATAAAGTATACATTAGAATTCATCCAATGATACTTGTTCATCCAACAAAAAAATTCATACATACTTTCATAAAAAAAAAAAATTTTCAAACGCTCGGTCGCTTTTTTCTCTATTGCAATTTTGTATAGGTTAATTTTTAAAGAATAATCAAAAAAAAAAAAGAAACATAAAGCAAGAAAAAATATATATATGAAAGGTGAAAATTTGAAGAAAAAAATATATATTTGGAATTCCATGAAAAAAAATTGTTATCAGATTCAAATAGTAAAAATATGAATGTTAATAAAAAATTATGGATAATTGTCAGTATGTAATTATGGAACTTTGGCCATTTCCTTCTTCTTCTTATTGCGTGGCGGGGTTACTGGTCGTCCTGCCTGCATTCCGCCATAAGTATACTTCTGTTTCTTTTCAGCTGGTTTGAGGATCTTTAAAAAAAAGAGGAATTAATATTATTTGAAGAAATATAATAAGTCGAAGTTCAATTTAATCTACCTGAAACGAGCACATAAGAGTCTCGTCTACACTCATCATTGCACCAGCGTTATCAAATTCGCCACAGTAGTTTGGCGCCGAGAACAATGTAACTAGCTGCCGCTTGGCAAAGAATTCGTAACCATCTTCCACCACTTGATGTGCTCTACATATCAAATCCATATCGTGCTTCTGTAAGAACCGACTAACAACGTCCGGGCCGAATGTAAAAGACACACCACGATCATTTTCGCTCCAGCCAGTAATATCTTTATCGGGATCAGACCACAATAAATCGCACAATAGGCCTAATCAGAATTAAATAATCGACATAATTAGTTATATCGATTAAGCAATAAAAAATGTAAATATATTAAAAAAGAAAAAAAATTTGAATACGCTACCAGTGTCAGGCACATCTGTGGGTCGCATAACTCTTCTAATTTGTTCCATACTTTGAAGATCGGGTGATAAACCACCATGCATAGTGAAAATCTTTTCGTCAATGATTGCAGCAATTGGCAAACAATTAAAGCAATCCGTAAAAGTTTTCCACAACTTGATATTGTATCTTCGCTTGCCTAAAATTTGTTTATGTTAAAATAAATTCACACATATACTAAATAATCTGGACCATAATCCTAAAAATTTAACTAATCGTTATTTACTTACATTCATCATAAAAACCATAAATACGATTAATGCTTGCACATTCATGGTTACCACGCAGAATGAAAAAATTTTCCGGATATTTTATCTTATAAGCCAACAAAAGACAAATGGTTTCTAACGATTGCTTTCCTCTATCAACATAGTCACCAAGAAAAAGATAATTGGCTTCTGGAGGGAACCCACCATACTCAAATAATCTTAAAAGATCATAATATTGACCATGTATATCGCCTAAAGATAAAATACGCACCGATTAAATTCTTGTGATGCTAAAAAAATAATTTTTCAAATTTTTCTTAAATATCCTCACCGCAAATTTTTATTGGGGCTTCAAGTTCGAGAAGTATAGGTTGAGAAATAAAGATTTCTCTCGCTTTTGTACAAAGATATTTAATTTCAAACTCTGCAAGCTGCACTTGTTTACCAGGTCGACACCCTCTTACTAAAAATAAAATAAACAATATTTTTCTTTGGCGTAAGTTAACGATCGTAACAGGTTATTTTTTTCTGTTATTGAAAATAGTTTGTAGTCCTATTCTAAAATACATTTTAGTAACCTAACCAAAGTCCTAATGAAATAAATAGAAACTAAAAAATACCTTCCAGAAGTCTGTCAATGACGGAGTCTATGTCTATTTCGGCAGGATCACTCATATTCCCTTCACTCTCGTATTAAGATTTTGCAAGAGTTATGAAAGCTTTAATAAAGAAGGAGTTTGTGTTTACGGCGTCTTGACACAGCGGCACAAATAATTAGAGGCACTGAAAACCAAAAATATAAAGATCGAGTGAAAAACACGTTAGCAAAGAGTTTTGATGGTTTGTTTAAACAACTATTATTTAAGTTAAACTGTCCAGATGAGAGTAGTCGATGGAAACTGCAACACGAGTTAACGGCAAGGGTTCACTAATATTTGTGACTGGGCTGTGTACAGGCATCCAGCATAATATACGAAGGTGTGGAGGAAGTCATGGGTAACACTTTTTTATTCTGTATTTTTCAATTTAACTTTCGTTTTTCCTTTTCATTATCAAATTTAATACATACAAATAGGTAGCGAGACAGGGAGCGAAATGGTCGGGCAGAGAGAATGCGTTTTTGTGTGGGATAGGAAGACGACGAGTAGGTTGGTTGGCCTGAGTTGGATGAGTAAGCAAAAAAAGTAGAAAGTGAGAGCTGGATTGGACTGTTTTGTGAGCGAGGATGAACTCTATGGTGCTGATTACCCAAAACAGAATTTTGGTGACATGAATGATGATGCTTTGATGCATCATTCGTACTTGTTACCACAACTCTCCTCATTTTATAGCCAATCTCCCTATAATCGTTTCAATTTCAAAATGATTTAAAAGATAACGGATTTATTTTTCCTAAATTCCAACCTTTTTTTTATATATATATCCAAAACAACATAAATATAGCTCAATTATATTTTATATCATTAAGATTTACCGTTATATTATATAAACCTCCTCCCTTTAAATAAAATGATTGACAATTAAAAGGTGGCGAAAGTTAAGTTTTATAAACGAATGATTTTGCCAATGGTTATTCTGCACTCTGCAGTGATTATATTATTCTTGCAGAGACATGGTTATCATTTTGATTAACTTTGCCTTTAAATAAGATGAGGAAACGTAGTTTTTCAATGAGTTCATATGAATTTAAAAGGTTATGTTATAATTAATTATTCATCAGGTTTTAAAACAAGATCTACAGATTGGTGGTCAATATATAAAAACAATATATTTTATTTGTCCATTTGTTCAAATATAATTTAAAAAAATATTATTGCTAATAATTAAAATTTCAAATTTAAAAAAAAAGTATATTTGAAAATAATAACCAGCTAGTAAAGAATATTAGTATTAAATGTATTAAATTGATTAATAGATTTTTTTCAAATTAATATTTTTGGCTTTAAGAAGTTTATTCCTTTTTATAAAAAATAAATTAAAGAAAATCTAAATCTAATAACAAAAAGTATTGTCAATAAAAATAAAGTACTTCTACTATAAATTACCAGATTTTATAAAATTTACTTATTGATTTTTAATTTAATAAAATTCAGCCAAAATTTTAGTTTTTATATTAAATAAAAAAAAACTTTTTAAAAAATAAATATTGAATAATTTTTTTATTATAAAGAAATAAAAACATAAAAAAAATTATTAAATTAGTATAATAAAATAGTTTTTTTTTATATTTTAAAAATCAGTAATTTTTATACTATATAAAATTAACCAATTTTTTTTTATTTAAAAAAATGTTTTTTAAACATTAAAAAATTATTTTATTACTAATTATAAGTAATAAATTTATTATATTTCCATTTTTTTGCAATAAGAAAATTTTTTATTTTTAAAATATTTTATTTTTATATTTAAAAATAATTTTAGATAAATTTATTAAAAAATAATTTCTATATAACTTGAAAATTAATAAGTAAATTTATAAAATAGGATAATAGTAAAATGTATTATTTGACATTATAATTATTTATAAATATATTTTATTATAATCTTATAGTTTAAAAAGCTGTTAATTCAAAATAAAGAAATATTTTAAGTTATTTATAATATTAAAAATAAGCAAAAGAAATTTTATAAGAAAACTCATAAATTAAATGAACTATTGGAAAAAGTTTGATATATATATCTAAAATCCCGCTTATTTATAATAAAAGTTATTATAGAAAATTAGCCCTTTATTAATGATTTTTACTTTTTTCTTAAATTTTATTGGTTAATTGGCTAAAAAGAAAAAATCATAACAATGTAATATAAAATTTTCTTTTATAGTAGAATTTGCAAAAAATTTTATATATAATTTTTATCTTAAACTTGGAAGTAACCTATCTTATAAGTAAGCAGAATCCTATATACTTGTAATACAAATTTATAAAATATTTTCTTTGAATAGAAAAGTTATTGTATACTGTTTTTTTTTACTTGTTAAAAAAAATTTATAATAAAGAACAAGAAATTCCAAAAAAAATTTTTTTTATTAAAATCCTGTAAAATTAATTATGAAATGTTGATCATTTTCTCTGGTTAAATAATAATTTATCTCTTAAACATATTAGATTTATAAAACTATATAAAGAAAATAATAATAATAATAGTAAAGGTATATCAAAAATCAGCTGATTTAAAAGGATTAAACTTTAAATCAAGTCTATATATATCATGTGATATTTATATATTTAAATATTAAATATAACATATGGGCTAATTTTGCTTATCTTCAATTCTATTATATACTATAATGATTATATATATATATTAGTTATATCAGTTGTACATAATTTTTTTCATGTTTTATTTTCAACATTATTTTCTATAGTAATAATAAAAAACTAGTTATCTATTTACTGCAAATTTTACTTTAAAATTTTTACAACTTGTCAAAAATTACTTGTTCATAAAAGAAATAAACATTTACATAATAAAATAATACTCTATTTTTATTCATTATCATCATAATGTTGGACTAACTGAAACCTTATGTTTACTAAATAGCAATATTTAATAAGCATTAAAATTTTATATTTATTAAGCAATAAATGCTTAATATATTAAATAAATACTAAATTTTAATATTTATTAACTATTTGATTTTTTAAGCATTTTATTAATATTTTAAGTATAAAATACTTAAATGCATTTTACCAATCTTAATAAGCATTAATAATAAAATATAAATAAATTATTTTAACTAATATCATGATAAATAAATATTGTCTTATATTATTTTTTTATAATTTTTATTAAAAAAAAACTTGGTTTCTTCAAACATTTTGTTAGAAATAAATGTCTTTATTTCAATTGAAAATTTTTTAGAAAATATATTTGTATATTTTTTTAAAGATGAAGAAATATTTAAATACAGCCCTATTCAATACAAATATTAATGTATTTTTGAAGAATTTGCAGGAGAAACAGAATTTTATTACAAATACTATGAGTTATATTTTATTTAAAAACTATAAAAATACAAAATATATATTAAATCAAATTTATATAAAATTATTAAACAGTATTATTAAAAAATTTATAATAAAAAATTTAACCTGTAATTTTTACTGATTCTGAATAGTTTCAAAAAAAGTAAATTTCTATATAATTTTTGAATATGTTATTTTTTATTATAATAGTGGGAATCACTAGTCAAAATTGTCCAAATCAGATAGAAATCGATCATCTAATTTTAATCTGATTTATAACTCAATTTTGACCGATTTTTTAAAAAGGCAATATTCCGTTTAGGTTCTGAGTAGTTGCCACTCAGATATAATTCAGAATAAGAAATTGGATATAAATCGAATATAAATCAACAAATACTACTAAATTCGACACTATTAATTAGACATAAATCAACTAAATTTATTATATAATAAATCAGATATAAATCAGATATAATTCAATTACAATTCAATTTATAAATTCAGATATACTATAAAATATATTATAATACGCAAAACTAAAAAAATAGAGTAAAATAAATTTATATATGCTATAAAATATAATATATAATACGCAAAACTAAAAAAATAGAGTAAAATAAATTTATATATGCTATAAAATATAATATATAATACGCAAAACTAAAAAAAGAGTAAAATTAATTCAGATATGTAATAAAACATACTATAATACGCAAAAATAAAAAAAAGAGTAAATTAATAATAAAATAGAATTCTGAAATTCCAACCATTAATCTTCTTGCATAAAACTTTCAGATTTATCCGCTTTATCTTCTAAAATTGCGTTTAAATCTTCATCATCAATATTTAAATCGTCTGTATATTCTGTGTCATATACCATATCTGGTTGATCAACATATGACCAATCGGGAGCATCATCCGGTGGTATTTTATCATAGCATTGTATCTCGTCATCATAGTTCCGAGGTCGCAATTGCTGCGCCATTTGTCTCACTCTTACATGTTTATCGAGAACATTTCTTAATAAAAGTCTCAACTAAAATGTAAAAATAAATAAAATCAGAAAATGTAAAAATAAGTAAAATCAGAATTAGTGAAAATAAGTAAAATCGGAATTAGTAAAAATTTATAGCAAAATAAATTATCAAAATAAAATAAGTAACCTCTTCTGAGCGCCACAATAGATCATAAACATTAATGACCGATTTTGAACCTTTATCTTCAGTTTTACTCACTTCCAGTGAATGATATGCATGATTTGCCAGAATTTTTAACAGATCCCGTTTTCTATAACTCATAATTCGGCTATCCTTTTTATTAAAGAGATCTTTCACAGCCTTTATCCTTCGCAATTTTTTCTGATTGATAAATTTAAAATGAGTTAATATGGATTATTAATTTGCCGCTGGATTACATTACATACATTATCATTTAATCTATTATTGGCATGAACTCGTCGATTGTTCATGCTTTCTTTGCCGGATATCCTCAAACTCAACTTAGATCGTCGAGATTTATGTAGGCTACTTAACCACCTTGTTACTTGGTTAAAGGATGGTCGATAATTTGGAGCAAGTGATTTTCAGATTTTGGGAATTAATTTACATTGAATTTTAATGTTTTTTGCACTGTTAAACGTTTCATTGTAGTTTAAGTTATATTTATCATTAAGTGTTTTTAAGATTGATTTCATTTTGATCTAATTGATATTTAGAAAAAGAAAAATTAGAGAAAGTATTATGAAATAATAAAAATTAGCAACAAACAGATATATTAGTAGAAAATTCAGTATAAATTTGTGGTGCCAAAAATGTTAGTTATTGAAATTAGTAATTATAAAGTTAGTATACGAATTTGCGTTGAAATTAGTAAAAAATTAGTAATTATAAAGTTAGTATACGAATTTGTGTTGAAATTAGTAAAAAATTAGTAATTATAAAGTTAGTATACGAATTTGCGTTAAATTAGTAAAAAATTAGTAATTATAAAGTTAGTATACAAATTTGTGTTAAAATTAGTAAAAAATTAGTAATTATAAAGTTAGTATACGAATTTGCATTAAATTAATAAAAAATTAGTAATTCGTAAAAGTTAGTATATAAATTGTGTTAAATTAGAATTGTGTTAAATTAATAAAAATTTGTAAATTGTCGTAAAAGATGAAATTAGTATTGAAATCAGTTGCAAAAATTAGTATCAAATATGATTGTCAAAACTCAACAAACCCTTGCTTCTCTTTCGTTAGGCTCTTCGGGTGATTCTTCAGTTGCATTCGATTTGGAATCCATCAAGTCGTCATCAACATCTTCGTCTTTATCGTCATCGTCACTTATTTGGAC